GAGCATAATAAACATTTGCACTAGCTTTTTCTAACAAATCTAAAACATGGTGGGGTTCAGGGTTTTTTTGATGTTTTTTTTTTTAAAAGGAGTTATCGTCTGCAACCTGGCCAATATGTTACAATCGCTCGTTTTTCTGCCAAAATAATTATTGAATTTCATAATTTTGTTACTAGCATAGTTCTGGGCTTTTCATATCTCAAGTATTTGGAGATGATCGAGGAAGTTATTGCAAGGATATTGACAGTAATACCATTGTTGTATTGTTGCATACTGTAGGACAAGTGCACAACAACCCAAAGAAGCAGAAATAAAGATGTCAGAACAAACCACACCAGAAGAAGTGAAGAATACTGAACTTGAGGTGCCAACAAATATCGAAGCACATGATGATGAAAGTGAACACAAAGTGAGTTTGTTGGAGTAGATCTGTAAAAGCAGTGTTAAACTGATATTCTTTCTGTGTAGTTATTCATATTATTTTTTTCCCATGGACAATTCCAGGAAGAAAAGCCTGAAGAGGTGAAAGAAAAAGGAGTCATTGATGAAAACAAGGAAGAGTTGAAGGAAGAATTAGTGCAGCCAAAAGTGCACTCAGCAGGAGGTGAGATTCCTGTTTTTAAATGCTCCTAAAGGACAACATGTATTTGTGCATGCATGATATCATGCTTCTACTGTAGTAGCTGTTTAGTAGCAGAATATTGCCAAAAGTCATTTCAAATTTATTAATGACCAGTTACTATAAATTAGATTATATATCTCCTATAATATGAAAAGAATAACTGACTGAACCAATACAAGTGAATGAATGGAAAGCTGTCTGAATACTTTCACTTTTACAGAAATTTGTCTTTCATGTAGATATGAAGATAGAACATCCTGCAAAGCGTCCAGCTGAAACTACATTAGATGAAGAAGCGGAGAAAAACAGTCCACCCAAAAAAGCCAAAACTATTGAATCATCTGCATTGAGTAAAGATACTGTTGAATGTGAAGAATAATTAAAAATCTTAATTCAGATGAAGTTGCAAGCCTTGTTAGAATGATGAATTAATATTTATAACCTTCCATTAAAATTAAATTAAAAATGGTTATTTATAAGAATATGATACTGTCTGTAGTTGTGTGAGGTTGTTCGACCCTCTACCATGTATCTAATTATCACACCTATTTCTACTGTTCAATTTTGTAATAGATGAATAAAGTGCCAGGTAATTTCTGTTTTCCAGAGCATCTAGTCTTCTATTGTAATATAGTTTAGAGAACTGTTGGCATTTGTATCGTGGCATACACTGGGAAATAATTCTTTCATGATGTGTATGTAGCCACTTTGAATATCGATTTACATATACAATGTTTGGATGGCTAGATTCTGAAAATGGGACTATTTGGGTTCCGTGTGTCTGTCCGGAGCCATTTCTCCGACACCCTTTGACTGATCTTTTTCAAACTTTCCATACAGACAGTGTATGATGACCTACATATGCATGCCAATTTTCGTTATGATTCGATTAAATATGGCTGACAAATTTGCTAAATTCTGATATTTAAACGTAACCGGAACTGTTTCTTGGAGCTGAACAATCAAACTTTGTATGGTGATCATGCATATTGGATTATAGGTGTACGTTACTTTTTTTTTTTGATATTCAGTCCAAGATGGCTGACTGGCAGCCATTTTTTTTTTTCATGCCGATTCCTCTGTAAGATATGGCCTTATTCAGTTCAAAGTTTGTACATAGGTACTATACTTCAAGTCAACACAACACCATGTTTTGTTTTCAGATTTGTCGAAATGGTGGCCATTTTGTTTAATATCTTAAAATCAGTCTGGAACTGTTTCTCAGGGCTGAATAGGGCGATTTCAATTTGTATGATGATCATGTATATCGAGTTACTCGTGAATGTCATTTTTTTCAAAAAATTGACCAACTGGTGATCATTTTGTTTGTTTTTTCTTTTTGTGCCGATTCCTCTGAAAGATATGGCCTGATTCACTTGAAGGTTTGTACACAGGTAGTATACTGCAAGGTAACAACATGTTTGACATGAGATTTGATCAAATTTGTTGGCCATTTTGTCAAAAAAACGTAAAATGTCATTCTGTAACATGTCTGGAACTGTTTCTTGGAGCTGAACAGGGTGATACGGCATTTTCAATCAAACTTTGTATAATGACCTTACATATTAGGTTAGGTGCAAGCCATATTTCTTTGGAGATACTTGAACAACAATACGTGACTGGCTGCGTTTTTCTTTCATGCTATTTCCTCTGTAAGATATAGTCCAATTCACTTCAAAGTTTCCACGTAGGTACTATACTGACAGTAACAATCTATAATATGTGTTAGTGTTAAAAAAAACATTGATCTTTCATTTCTACATGTCACTTGAACTGAACATTTACATCAACTACAGCTAATACTTAACTAGGACTATACATTATCGATGCTTGTTTTTTTTCTTTAACAGGTATAACTCGGATCATAGCTTGATCATACTTTCAATTAATAATTCATGCCTTGGAATTTTAATTTTTTTTTACCTAATGCAACTTTGGTAAGCTCACTCAACCTGTCTGTTAATACTTGCCTGACCCTTGAAATAATTTTTTCCCTCAATCATACAGTACAGAATTTGGTCTTTTATACACTGGTTACAACTTGGAACCTAAATGTGGTCACTATAGGCAGGTGGTCACCAATACAGGTTTGATTGTTGTGTAAATTGACTGTCTTGTGACTATTTACACAATATATGATAGCGTGGTTAAAAATTGTATACAGTTACCTGTATGTAAAACACCTAGTGCTTCTCAATCAATCGGAATGCTATATTGTAGGACTTTAGGGCTTTTATGTAGATCATGCAAAATGAAACACTGACCAAGTTTTACCATGCTAAGAAACCACGAAAGTCTGAGTTTGAACTCCGAGCTCACACAGTGGGCGATGTAATAGACAAACATTGAATTTTGGGCCATATGTTTTGAGTTAAATCAGAAGTCTTTTGCAAGGTCTTTATCCTATAGATAACCTTTGCCCAGAGGCTTTATTTTAATTTTTTTTATTACCTCCTGTGTCCCTTGCTTTGATAAGTAATAAAAACTGTTCAAGATGTCTTTTGCAAGGGCTTTATCCTATAGATAACCTTTCCCCAGAAGCTACTTTATTTTAATTTTTTTCTCATTTCCATTAAATGTACCCGGTGGTTCTGTGGTTACTTGCCATTTTATAGTATGAATGTTCAACAGATTTTGTTCACATTTGGAACAAAGGCAGGCCTTTTCATTTCTCAGTATATGGGATTGACAAATTTTGTTTTCAACATAAAATTCACCCAGTAAAGCTGGGAAGAGGGCTTGTTAAAGTGCACAGAAAGCCATTTATTGTCTGCACTTGATTTTATTTGAGACATAAAGTTCATTTGCATATGGTTTTCTCTTCTGCACAGGCAATATACAAGCTTTCATGTTTCTAGGATTGGGCATTAAAATACATTTTTGTGAGGAATGGTCCATGCAGTTTTAGCTTAATTTCCATATTTAATTAATTATTTCTGTTTCCTTAAAAAAATACCACTAGAGGGCAAAGTGCTGTACTTTTAGTTCTTGTAATGAGGTTATTACAAGGATACAGAAAATACTTTATTTTAACTGAAGAAATGATTCAGCGAATATACCTGTTTTCCTATATTTTACATTCGACTCGTCAATAAATCAATAAAAATATATTCCATACAAAACACCCATAAAGTCTTTTAAGCGAAAATCTATTTCGCTCGTGACAGTATGGCCGCAGGATACACCGCATCACTCGTGAAAATAATTTCCATACGCAACGGGAGGGTGTGGGGTTCTGTCATATTGTACAACAGTTCCTAAAAATAATAGTAGAGCAACATATCTAAGCAAAATTTGGCAAGACTAATATTAGCCAATTTGTTAAATTAATACTGCATATACTGTATTAATCTCAATGTCCCTTGTAAAATAATATAGCACAAATTATACAAAAAAAGTTTCCAAATAATAGCGCAGTAATATATTTAAGCCAAACAAAATACTAGACAGATTTTTGAAAAAAGAAAAAGACTGCAGTTTTTTTTTATTTATACTCGTAACATCTATTTACTATAGATATCAAATCGACAGGTTTGCAGAGCATTACTAACATCTGGTTTTCATTATCAGTAGTATTTTCTCCATCTAAAATTTGCTACACCAGAATTTAACTTTGACATTTCATAGAGATTGATAAGATTTCTAAATTTGAAAATGATTAAATATAAAAATTGATTTTATTGTAACCACAAGACAATTTTAAGTGAATTTTGAATATCTTACAAAATATAAATAGAACCATAATTGTAACTTGGTCGTTTGAACGTAATTGAATAAAAACTATTAGTATTGTAACCACAAGAAACAGTTTTATGATGGATTCAACAATGAACAGACATTTCCCCATCATGATATGGACCAAAAGTACACAAGGTGGTTGAAAAACAGTTGAAATTTCTCGCTATGAACTTTGTTTTGAAACCTACATCTTAGGAACATAAAAAAAATCATTCGTGATTATGCTCCCTACAGTAAATATCCTACTAAACTGTTTTCTCTCTTGTTGTGACAAAACAACTAACAATATAACAGAAGGCTGCAATGATGTTTTATTCTAATTATAATTTATACATGTACTACAATATTATACAATATTGCACACATAATTGTGTGAATCTAATTATTCACATGCTCAGTGCTTCATCCTAATATATATTTCCAACACTGGTAACATTGGTGGGCTAATATTGTCAAGAATAATTGTCATCTAATGAAAAGTTTTTAGCTGGTATCTTCATGAAAAACATTGTTTGGGTAACTGCAAAACAATTTAGAGTTTTCTTTCTATAGACGAATCATGACTCTGCTTCTGTAGGTCTCAAGTGTATATTAGGCAATGTTAAACCTACAGTAAGATAGCACCATCCAATCCTTATATAAAACATTGTAATAAATGTTATTTGTAAAAGTATTTGAATTATGGTAGTGTAGAAGTAAAAGCTAGCTAGACAAAGAGAAAAAGACAATAAGGAATATTGATCTCAGTTTAAATTTAAAAAGAAAACAAGTGCTGGTTCATTAACAATATGCTAATACCAAGAGTGCTACGACCAACATTTCTTTCTACTAAAAGTCTCAAGAGAAATTCTAAAACGTAAATCATAAATCTGTAAATGCTATTACTAAAATGTAAAATAACCAGATAACCTTTATATAATAATGGCTATAACATAGTAAATAACTTTAGTGAATACTATCAGAATAGATGGGCACTGGTCTTAAAATATCTGCAATAAATTCTGATGAGAAGAGGTGTATATCCATTTCACAAACTGAAAATACTAAAAGTAGGATAAAATACATAAATTATACATAAAAAGCAGTTTAAAAATAGAAATTTGAATACTCTATGAAATAATTTGTTAGTGTTGGTGTTCTGGATCTATAGATATCTTACTCCATGCAATACTGGACCCTAGTGCAGTTAGTACCATTCATCATTAGTACCGGTAATGTCGGCCATACCAGTAATAAAATCAGCACAAATCACGGTAAATTTTACAGCTTTCACATTCAAACAATTGTTGGCTGCATTTATGAACTTGTGCTTTAATTGTTCACCCTAGATTCATGGTTTTTATTCCTGGATCAAAATATGTCCGCATACGAATAGGTCAATCAATGACTATAAATGACTTCTTGGTTGATATTATAAAACCATTTCCTGATCTGATAAACATACAACAATTTCCCTGAATTTCTGATCCGTAATCTAATAAATAGTAACTGATATTATGTATGTCTAAAGAAGTCAAGAAACTGAAATTTGATAAACATCAAAACTAAGCGTACATAAAAACATTAGTTTGAAGATATTGCCATTCAGTTGCCTGTTTGCATTTTGAAACGTAGTTCACATGTGAATCTTAATCAAGGCAAGAATATTAAGAGTGTGGCAAACAAGTCTCCAGGGGGAGGGGCTGCTCAGTTGTATTTTTGATGGAAGGTCCTTAAAACAATTTAAAAAGCTAGACAAAAAATGATTGCATCTACAAAAAACTAAATGTCTGCTTCAGCAAAAAAATGACCAGCAATTAATCTAAAATCACAAGTATATTAAATTTGTGGGTCAAATAAACTGACCAGCATATGATAAAATATATATTGACTACATGCTAATATTATATAGTATAAAATTACACTCAATCTTTTTCAAATGGTATGATTTTAGGATACAAAAAATATTATTGCTCTCCGGGACAAGTTAAAATTGCCCTATCTTAAAATGTTTAGCGAAAATAATACAAAATAACATGCATAATTATAACCTATGTTAATAATTAAGGCTACATGAAATGTAACGAATAGAACTATGGTGCAGCCATGGTTACAGTTCCCTGGGAATCTACGGCTCTTCATCACCTGGAAGAGAGATGAATATTAGAAAGATCAGCAAACAGGATATACATGTATGATAATATTAAATGTAAATACAACAAGTTTTATATATAAAATGCCACAAGTCTCAAAGCGTATATCTGAAAACAGTGTATTGCACGCTGTGTGACGACTGAAGCAGAGTGAATGAGTATAATTACATTTTAGCTAATTCATCATTATCAGAACATAATACTCAGAAAGGTAAAAGATTTAATGCTATCATAATTACCATTGGTATGATTCTCAGTATGGTTGACTTCAGCTTGCCCATCCTGCCCTCTTTCTCGTATAATCTTTCGTTGATGGGGCTTACAATAATACTTATCATCCAACACCGCAAAATTTGCCAAACTGAAAAAAATAAATAAATCAGAGAAAATCAATAATTAAACCCACATAGTGCTTCTCTAACAAACAATCGGGATACTACATTGTAAGATTATATACACTAAATGTAACATTTCCAAGTCAAGCTTGTCTCAAATGGTTATTCTTATAAATTGTGTTATTCTTGTACAATTGTGCTTTCACATATGGATCATGTGACATCAAAGATGGAACACTAGCATTCAGACATCTTGGCACATGTTGACACGCTACCCATTGACAACGATGATCAATCATTGGCTTTCACAAGATGAGCACCATGCATATAAGAGTTCAATTACCACGATTTCAGTATGTAAATTTCATGTGAACAATGCCTACAAACTCAGAAAGATCTAAATGAAAACCTAAAACCCCACTTTCCAATTTTTCTAAACCAAGTCAAGTATAACTATCATCTTGAATACAACATTGTTGTGAACAAGGGCAAAATTGAAACACACTGTAATAAGTGGATTAAAATCCACCAAATTGTTATGTCTTGAATGCACTTGTATATTAGTCTGTATATGTACGCAGTGTATTCTGCTTACTGTATGTATTATGAATGATTACCAATAAAAACTTATAAATATAAAATAAAATAAAATAAACATTGCCTTATACATGTTCTAGGACTTTTATAGCATATTCCGTTTGAAAATAGGGTCCCTCCTGTTCCATTAGGAATTGACAGGACTTGTATGCTTTCGAAAAATGTGAGAATTTCCCTAAAATATATATTCATACATGTAGACTGTGGCAGTCGATTTTAATTAACCTTTCTACAAGGCTATTTTTTGTTCTCCCCTCTGCCTGCAGTCTCAACATTTTAATTCTGTTGGACTTTATATCCCAGAAGATTCTTCAAGTGCAAAAACAAAAACAACATTCCCGGTACTAGTAAACTCCACTATTAAAGATAAATCCATATAAAAGATGTACCCTCATGCAGGTAGGTTGGCTTTAAACTGTCAACACTTGCAATCTCTGTATTTCTACTTACTTTATAGCTCTTTTACAAGTCTCACATCTGAAGCAGAGTTTGTGGAAAAGTTTACAATCAGCTTCTAATTTCTCCATGGCATAGACAGTTTTGTTACAGATCTTACACTTATCACCCACAGGAGGCTTCCACACTTTACTCCCTCCACCACCCTGTAGGGAATACAGGTTTTGATTCATGTTAATCCAGGTAAATTACTGTAAAAACATTCATTTTTCACTTGTATTTAATTCATTGTTTAGAGCTTATATATTAACTTAGTGAAACAATTGGAAATGTTCTCATGCATTTATCTGAATGGAGTGAAGCTATCAGTGAAAATAGCAAAATTAAAACATTACAGTACAATATTTTTAGTTAATGCTGTGATTGTCATCTATCTAGACTCAATAATCAAAATAAGTGAACTGCTCTAAACCACATGTTACTCATTTCCAGCACAGCATTTAGTAGCTCAGAGTTCATTTTATCTAACTTGCATTTCATTACTTATTTGGCAAAAATATTAAATGCTTTATATGCCAATATAGTTTCCAGATAGAATTTTATACTCAAAAAAAATAAATACAATAAATATAAATATATACAAAAATAAGTCTTGTCTGATTACAGTGATCGCAAACAAGATTGCAACTTCCCTGAGAAAGTCCTTATCAATGTTCCAATAACCCCATCATCTGCCTCCTAGACAAAAATTAACTAGTTCAAAATCAAGTTGGCCAAGGGGAAGCGAGATTGTCACAAAATGTAGCAAATTGTTTTCATAACACTAGATCATTTGATAGTGCCAATAAGAAAGTCTCTATATTGCAATATTGCATAGAGAGTTAGCTAACTATATTGCATAGGGAGTTAGCTAACT